TCAGTGATATGTTTTGGTAGTTGATGGCCCTTTACACTTTCAAGCAGAAAGTGAGATATGTTTTGCTGTGGGTTCAAGCCTAGAAGACTGCGTGATCCTCTCCATCATGAAGTCTTCCATATAGGGACTTCAATTCCCAGAGACTTTTTGGAGTAAGGGTTATAATTATTTGAGCAATTTTGAAAATTTGATGAAAACTACAGGCATTTTACCTAGCAAGATATCTGTGTACATATTCACATATCTTTGTATACTATTTCAAGATGGGTATATGTTTATTAACCTCTTGGAGGCTGTGCTTCCAGGGCATACTAGGTGCCAAGTTAAATATCTGTGTGCTAAGGTAAACCTCAGCCCTGGGAAAGTAACTTAATTGGTACCTGTGGGGTATCTGTAGCTACTTGGAATGTTAACACTATGACTGTGTAACAATTTGGACATATAACATTTCTAACTTCTTACTTTTCTAGTGTATTTCTTTAGCTAATATTATTTTAACCTGTTTTTTCTTGATCCTGTTTATTCTTATGTTTTTGAGGTCTTCTTGTTCTGCTCTATCACATTCTTTTAAAAAAGCTTTTTATTGTAAAATTTAACAAACATACTGAAAAGTTAATAAACACAAATGCACGCTTTAGTGAATAATTTTAAATGTAACCATCAACTTTTTCAAGAAATAAAATATTGCTAGCCCTCTAGCAAGCTACCTAGCCTCCCAATCTAAACCCCCTCCATTTTGGTAGAAGTAGCCACTAATCTGACTTTTAAGGTTATTTCCTTGTTGTTCTTTATAATTTTATCGTCTATATATACCTGTCAAATGTCTTACTCTTTTAGAAAGTCTTACAGATGGATATTTATTGTATATTCATTTTTGTTTGTTTTGCTTCTGTCTCTCAACATTATGCTGTGCGTGTCTTATGTTGCTGTAGATACCTGTAGTTCATTTATTTCCATTGTTGTATTTTCCATTGTATGACTATACCACAGTTGGTTTATTTGCTATATCCGATCAAGGTTACCATGATATTTGCCTAAGAGAACTTTGATTTTCTTATCTTTTATCTGCCTTTGGATGAATTCTCTCTTCATTTACAGTGAAGTAAAATCTTAACTAGTAAATATGTTACATGTAAATAATTTGAAAATTTAATAAGAGACCGAAACCAATATCAGGTTTTCTTATTATCTGTTATTTTACTTTCAAGAACTCTAGTCTGTAATATACTTTTCTTTTAAATATTTCATATATATTATATTCCTGGCTATCAGAAAAGTTGATTAAACAAATTCAGCAAGTATTTGAGATCTACTATGTGCCAGGCATTGTTGTAGATCCTAGGGCTTTAGCATGTTAAAACAGATATGTGCTTTTGTTTAAAAAAAGATCATGATACAAAAAGGTATAAAATGAATAGTTTGGCTTTCTGTTTCTTCAGTTCTATACCCAATGTTAAATTTTTTACTATCTTTTCTAGAAAAAAGAATAATCTTATATATATACATCCTTAGATCTCAGTGTTTTAAAAACTGTCACCTCCCTAAAAGGACTGAACAAGAAAGAAAAAAGAAGGCACATATTATCAGTAGCAAGAATGATAATGTCTTACTTATCATTCCTGATCCTACATGAAATATAGTAACAGGACATTAAAAATAACATTATGCCAATGAGTTTGCAAGTGTATATGAAATTAAATTATACAGAAAAATACAACTGACAAAATCTGGCAACACTGACAAAGAAAACGAAAAAGTCACAGTTGTGTGTCTAATAAAGAGGTTAAATCAATAATTAAAAGCCTTCTTGCAAAGGTTTTTGGAGGACAGTGGCAGCTGCCTGATTTTCTAAACTCTTTCAAAAAAAAAAAATCATCAAATCAACAAGCAAAGGAAATAAAGCCGTATATCATCCAACTCTTCAGCATAACTAGGAGACAGAGAATACCATAACTTTCTAATTGCCTTAAGGAGAGAAATAAATTCAAAAAGATTTCCTTCTGCCCTCCTTTCTTTGCACACCTGTGGATACTAAGAATGAGGGGAAAAGGCTTAAGAGTAGAGGGTCATGAACAGCTTAGAAAAAGCACAATCATCCCCAGAAAGAGAAAGTCTAATACTGAATGCCAAAATACTGAACAACAGGTCAGACTTGGTAGTTCACAGCACAAGATATAGGGAAATGATTTGAAAAACAGTGGGACCAAAAGGGATAGCCTCAGAGAAGCATTGCTTCTGAGGGAGAATCAGATATGTTAGGGAAGGCGTGACTTCCCTTAGAAGAGTGACAGTGAAGGAAAACAGGAAATTAAAAAAGGATCCTGCAGGAACAAAAAGAACTAGGAAACCACTTCCCTTCATTCTCCTCCTTCCCCCCAAAAAGTAAATCCACAAAACAAAACAAAAAACCCTCAAAAAACCCATAACAGAATTTTATACACATAAAGGAAACTTGTGAGCAGAGGCAGAACTGAGGGAGAAAAAAAAACAAAAAAACAACACTGTAACACAACACTTCAAACTGATTTAAATATCATCAAGCAAGCATCTGGGAAAAAGCACTTTGAGAAATTTAGCTGACTAGGAACCTTAATTCCCTTTGTCCATGTAACTTAACATATTCACAGTTCCAGGAATTAGGATATGGACAACTTGTGGGTGGGGAGCAATGTAATTATTCTTTCTACCCCTTGTTAGTCGCTAGTAGAATGTCTCTGACTGTAGATCTTCTCAGTGTACAGAGCTAATAATGTACTTAGTTTAAGAATCAGTTTTGCAACAGGAGTAGCTATCTCCGATGGTAGCTTATCTAGAAAATTGACGAAATGGCAAATCTCATATAGTATGAAAGATAAGTTTTGGTCATATGTTAGTGTGAAACCCCAAATTGTAATCAGCTAAGAAGCCTCATCTTTCCAACCAAAGTCATCAATAAACACGAATGTCCTCAGTGTCAAGCAAGAATTTCTACTCTCTGCAGGTAGATATGATAATCTCCATCTTTCTGAAGTCTAGTGAAATTTGCCTTAAGGGTGGTTTTATCCATTTTTTTTCCATTTTGTGGTTTCTCAAGTTTTAAATTATATTTAGAATTGTTTGCTTTAAAATATTATTTGATTGCTTACTCATATTTTATACTTTGATTTCTATCTTGTATTTTCAGCACAAGCACATTTGAAGTCTAATGATACTACAACAGACTATTGCAGGAAAAAGGTCATAAAATTGTCTGCTTCTACTCAACATTTTCTTTTTTTTTTTCCTTTTTGTCTTTTTACATGTCCGGCAACGGATTGCAACCCTCAGTGTCGCGCCCGTACCGGACCGGGACCGGCAACGGG